AAAAAAAGAAAAAAAGAAAAGAAAAAGGCTAAAGAATGGGAAGTAAACATAAAGTAAGAGAAGTGAAATTCTCAAGGGTACAACTAGCTAAGAAAAAAAAAAAAAGGGTCTTGCAAGACTCCACGTTCTCTGTTGATAAGCAAGAGAGCTGACATTTTTTTCTTTTGGAACGTTAATAGATGTGAACTGTCCAGTCATATTTAAACCTTCTATATTTTGTTTTTCCTTAACCTTTGCTGGTTGTTGGTTTAATATATAGAGTGTCAATATTAATAGGTATGCAGACATTGCATTATAATTATCAGATAAATTAGGAACATTGCATTCTAGTTATCAGATAAATTAGAAATCATTGTATAGAAAAACATCATCATTGTTAAAGCTTTTTTCTAACTAATTAGAGTCGGCTAGCTTTTTTCCAACTAATTAGAGTCGGCTATACGAATCTTGGTTTAAAGCTTTTTTCTAACTAATTAGAGTCGGCTAGCTTTTTTCCAACTAATTAGAGTCGGCTATACGAATCTTGGTTTGTCATTTTGCTTTATTAAAAGTCATACCCTCAGTGAGGTCATAAGTCCCTATATTTTTTCTCACTACTTCCAACCATATCTTTTCGGACCTACCTCTTGCCCTTTTTTAGCCTTCCACTTGAACTAACTCACACCTCCTAACAAGTGTTGTATTGAGTTTGCGTCACACATGGTCAGTCCACCTAAGTCTACTCTCTCTCTCATCTTATCATTATTAGTGTCATACCTAAATTTTTTCGAATTTATTCCTTTCGAATTCTATCCCTTCTTGTCTTGCTACTCATCAATCTCAATATCCTCATCTCCGCTACACTTATTCTATATGTATATTGTTTTTTAACCGCCCAATATTACGCCACATAGAGCAAAGCTGGTCTCACAGCTATCCTATAGAACTTGTCCTTCAACTTCATTGGTAGGCGGTCACCCAGCTCTAATTCTATATGCGACATTGTCCCCAATCTCTCTATTGTCCTAGATTATTGACCCAACAGATTGAAAGTGTGCTCTTTTTGGTATTTCTTGACCATCAATCTTAACTACTTCCTCGTCTCTACTCCTTTTATTACTAAACTTACATTTCATACACTTTATCTTAGTCCCGCTAATTTTAAAACCTTTAGAAACTAGAGTATCCCTCCAAAGTTCTTTGTTTTGGTACTATTTCAGGTCTCATCGATCAAAACTATCGCATTTGCGAACAACATGAACCACGGTGTCTCATCTTGTAGGTGCCTAGTTAAATCGTTCATAACTAAGACATAGGTACGTGACTCAATGCTAATCCCTAATGGAGACTCATTGTCAATGAAAACTCATCCATCTCTTTGCTAGTTGTTTATACACTAGTTAGCGCTCCATCATACATATTTTTCACCAAGTCAATGTAGTGTCTAGAGACTCCTTTTTTTCTAACACGCACCAAATCAAATATTGAAGTACTCTATCATAAGCTTTCTTTAGATCAATAAAAACCATATGGACTTTTTCATTCGCCCTAAACTTGTCAGTAGTTTTATAGAAAAACATAAAGTTATTTAAAAATAGGTTGGAAGACACAAACTAACATAATGGTCGAAGCTAGGAAGCTCAATGACAAGAATAAATATAAACTATAAAAAACTTTATTGTATCTACTGGTATTAAATGTTTATGGCAAGGACTTTTGGGGAGGAGAACTAAGATTGGAGAACATAGGCACAGCTATGTTAACACATTCAGACAAGAAGGTTGAGACCATCAGATACTGTCGAGCAGATGGGGATCATAAGAGGGAACTACCACAAAACTTTGTTTAGATTTGGAGAGCCTCCATATGTCTAAGAACGCATGACGGATAAAACTGCTCTAAACCACAGCTTTAAATTATATCGTTTTCTGTAGCATTTTAATGAAGGATCAATAGCAATATCTACAAGTTAGCCATTATTGGGGCTTTTGACAAAAAATATTTGTTAGTCGAATTTCTTTTTGCTTATATCTTTGGATACTAAGTCGCATTACAAAGTTCTAGCAAGGGCGAATCTCCCGCCCATGGCAGACTTCCTGGTGAAAGAACAAAGGAGAAGATGAACTCGGCAATTTTTTGGTGGTAGGTTAGGATGGGATTGGAACTTTGGATGTATGCTTGCTATTATTTATACCTTACCAATCAAGCCAATGGCCAAATCCCAAACCCTAAGATCCTTAGAAAGCATAATTATACAGCGTTTTTAATCAGAGGATGAACACAAAGGAGATCGCAAAGAGAAAAACCTGAAGGAGAAAAGTTCAGAGAGAACTTCAAAACAATGAGGAATAAACAACAAAAATGTATACAGGAGGAAACAGAAGAATGGGAAAGTAAAGAAGAGAGAGAGCAAGGAACTAGGATCTAGTCTCCACCATGACGGTGCCAAGTCCGCCACCCTGCTTGACTTGCCAATAACCGCTAATTAGCTACACATGACGCAAGTAAAATCTTATCATATACAGCTTTTCAATAAGTTCTTAGGGCACCAAACAGAGTGCACTATTATCCTCTTCGGTGGCAGGATACTGTTGCTTCACAATGTTCATGTAATATCAATCTCGCCCTTACGAGATTACCTTCCTAAGGATATGTTTTTGCAAAAAGGCCATTCATGAAACTAACATAATTTCGCAATAGAGAAACTTACAGATGCGCAATGTCACTCACAGACCTGCAACCTCCTGCAAACCAGCCAGTCAAAACGAACACATGCTACAGCAATAGACCACTTAGAAATCACACTCAGTTTCACTTTCTCAAAGGACATTTCAAGCTTTTGTGTATGTGCAGCTCATAAACATACTTCTAGAGGGATGCCACCCACAAAGTTACATGCCCTTCTGCAAATGGTCACTCCCAAACCACACACCATTCTGCAAAACTGATAACAATCTCTCTCAAACTCATCTACATTGTATACCTTGTGTATTATGTGCAAATATTTGGAAATGCTTTGCTCTACATTTTGCAAACTCCAAATAACAACCACTCTATGGCCCTCTGCAAGTTCGCCAACTCTAGGGTTACTCCTAGCATGATCCATCATTTTATGATTGTTAGATCATAGTGCATCATGCATAGAACACCCATATTGTGATCATACCAACACTAACTTCTGACGCCAAAGCAAAGCCAGATTCTAAGAAACTATGGTAGGCCTTCGTGTGGCAGTGCATTGCCAATTCCACAAAATCTATTCATGCCATTATAGGAAATGGTTACCAGCACCTTCTCGGCAGCTACTTTCTTTAATTCATAGGCAATTGTCCACATCATAACAAACCTAGTTGTAGATCCCTAAAAGTAAAGAATGTAGATATGAAATATGGACATGTATACCTCTTCCTTACACAGATTCCTAGGATTGATGATCAATTTCACACCTTTCGTATTCCCTTTCATAGAAAGAGGTTCACACCATTGGTGGAAGAGAAGTTGAGGGGGCAGCCTTGTATAGTTGAGGGCAGTTCTTTAAATACCATTCTTTGGTGTAAGGCGCAACGGGTTCCCTGGCAGCTGCGGCATCTTTGGTTACAAATCATAGATTGGCTGATGGGATTGGTGTTTCTTTCCAACATATATACAGGGAGGGCAATGATTTTGCAGATGCATTGGGAGCAACTTTGTATTCTTTGGTTGTTTCAGATGATGTAATTCCGTTGTTGTAATTCTTTGTACTCTCTCCTTTTTTAGCAATAAAATATCGAATATTGTCAAAAAAAAAAAAAGAGGATAAACTGCCTAAGTCATGCAGCACTAGAGTAGAACTACAATAACAACTACTTGCATTTTAGCAAGGTCCAAGAAGCAATAGAGACCATAAAGTATGAGTTCATTGTTCCAATCTCCTTTCTCCTTTCCTTTTCTCCTTGTTTTCCCTTCTCTCTCCTTATACAAGCATTTGATGTTGTCCATTCAAACTAATTTATGCCTTTATGGTTCTTCAAATGACCGAGCCTTACAGGCCCTGAACCCCATGGCCTGATAATGTAGTTGTGCAATGGCTCTAACAAATATTATTTCCTAAACACGATTCATATTTAAGACGATTACCTAACATAATGAAATATTAATTTTCTTAACACAATTAGTCAACAAAACTTTTATCTCGTGTTTCACACCCTAGTGTCCTCGTAAGAGCTGAAAGTCATTATATCACTTTATGGCAGGCAATCGAAAGAACATGCAAATGTTTGGGTTAACAAGTCAGGTTTTAGGATTATATTGGTTGCCCTTGGGGTTTATCGCAAACACACTTGGTTCTTTCTCAGACCGTCCCTTGGTGACTTACCATTCAAAGAACTTAACATGAACCAAAGCTCACCATTCAAATGTCACATCCAAAGGCTTCCCAGAAATTTTTGGCAATATTTAAAAAATAAAAAATAAAAAAAATAGAAGAGTTTGTTACTATTTCGTTGAAATATCTAGAATTTCAAGGAAGAAGATAGGCCGTGTAAGAGAGTTAGATGCAACCAGCTCTACTTTAACGTTTTTATCAGGTCCTCTCCAGTAAGAGTTCAGGTCTGATGTTGTAGAAAAGTCTTCAATTTTCTCAGTTCAGACAGTTATGCAACATTGTTTCAATAGTAAGTAGAAGAGGATTATAGTAAATATATTGTATGTTTGCAGGTTTGGTTTTAAATATAAAACTGGAAAATCTAAAGTTAGTATATTTATTTGTGAACCTAGCGTACCCCATTTCATTAGATACCGGGTTGCAACATTGTGAACGAAGTGTGACATACTGAATCTGTGAAGTCTCAATAGTTACTTCGAATATGAATATGGGATATGAACCAATACCTAGTACATATATCATGCTGTTCAGAATGAGGAAGGCATCATATGCAGACCAAATGATGGTCTTCATAAACGAAAGAATGTTCAAATAACAGAAAAGGAGAGATTCAAGTCAACCAAATCAAAATAGCTCAATTTTAGAAATTTAGGACACATTTTTGTGGACTCCTAAAACAGATCCATTCAGCTTTGCTGATTCAAATATTTCATCCCAAATTATCCAAGATAAAACATCAAGTTCTAACTTGATTACTACAAATTCAACTAACAAACAAGGATACAAAAGGACACGGTTTACCGCTACAATGCAGGAATGGTACTGTCTTACCACTATTCACAAGCATTTTAGTTAACATCATTTCGTCTATTGTTGCAAGTTGCATGATGTAAGGAAATTTTCTGCCACTCCCAAGTTGATGAACCAATTCTGGTTTTCTGTTAAAGAAGTACATCGCTGAGAAATTTGAACAAGGAAATATGCCAAAATGTGAACTCTGCAGTGATGAACCCATCACCAACTAGAGCTGCAAGTTTAAAATAAAATTAATAGAGCAGCAGTACTTTATTCATCGTCTTTGTATGGGTACTCCTCTGGAACTTGCTTCAACAGTTTAACTCTTAGCTCGTAGGCATCATCTCCACGTAGCATATCACGTACCCAGTTGACTTCCGTTTTCATAGAAACCTAAATCAATAATCATAGGCTGACATCATGCAAGCAGATAAATTCAAGCACTACTGCTCAACAATGGTCTCTAATGATTAATTGTAGCAACTGCTGTATAGAGATTTTGAAATATTTTAAAGAACTTTAAAAAATAATCCTAGTTGTATATTAATACAGTGCAATTGCAGGTTGCCGAGTGATTTTAAACTACAGATACCCAAAACAGGACCAACTTGACAAACTGTAGAAACATAATTCCAATGTTGGTATGTTCACTATGATAAAGTGCCTGATTATTTTGTGTCTGCCAAAGCTAGAATCTACAATGGTCAAGAAGGAATTTGGCACCAAATAAACAAGACCGAATTTATGAGTAGAGGAATGAGTTCAACAAAGTGATACAATCTTTTCTTAATATAATTAAAGTGTAACTGAATATTCAGCGGATACCGGATTTTCAGTGGATGCATATTTGAATGTCACAATAAAATAAGCTCAGATGCTCCATAATACGCCTGTTGGATAGCATGTGAACATCATAAAGATTTATGTAGCTTCCCAGGCAAGGAGAGTTATTCTTATTTCATATGTATGAAGAACTTTGACAATTGTGAACTTGTAAGATTACAGTGCATAATATGATGTGGGCTGTTGAAGGCAGTAAAATATATATAGTTCTTAAATACATGTGATTTTTTTGGTAAATGCTTATGTTATATGCAATGTTCAAAAAAAGGGAGATCAGAGCCTAGGTGGCTTGGGATCCTGGCCCACTAGGTTAAACACCTTTGCCCCATTGGGGGGGGACGGGACCGGGGTGAACCTTAGCTATAATCTATTTATTTCTAACACAGATTTTTTTTTTTTTTGCTATAAAGTCCATTTCTTTCAAACAACAATATCGCAATCGCTTCGAATACATGCATGAAGGAATATGCATTATTTTTTTTAACTTTTGCACACAAATTCTTTGTTGCATAATATGAAACCATATATTGCACTGATCCGTAGTCAAATTTCTTATAAAATTTTTGTGGGGTTTAGACAAATTTCTTAATTTTTTTTATAATTCATCTCCCATCCAACCAAATTATGCCTACCCCTAATTTGCGAGGGTTCCTTGCATATTTAGTGCCACATATCATCTAAACTAGTCCCTTTTATCAATGATGATTTCAAAATTACATTTCAAGAATAAAAGAAGACATATTTCTGAAATAATCAACAGAAATCGCAACTCAATTCCTCAAATTAACCATTAATTGCTCCCCAAGTAACCATCAGTTTCCATTAGCGCAGCTAAAAATCATCGATATAATCCCAAAACCCATTACGTTTTTTTGGGGGTTGGGGGGCCAAGATTGCCCCCCCTTTTGTTTTGGGGGGTGGGGGAGTACTTTTGTGCCCTTGGCTGACAGCCTTTTTCTGCCCTCGGCCAAGTTGTTCCAAGCCGCATAGGCATTTTCGAGCCTTGGTCATATCTTAGCATGATATCAAAATTGTAATAAGGGTTTCCCAGCAAGAATTTCAAAAGGTAAATATTGATCCAAATTAAATCATTCGAATGAAGTTAATGCAAACTTTAGGTCAGCCAAGGCTCACCTTACAATTTGAATAATGTGGATAATTGCAATTAATAAAACTATTTTATGAATTATAAGCTTCACAGTTTGATTTCACTAAATATACTCCTTTGAATCTAAAAGATCATGCAGAAAATAAACATACACCAAGGATCCAGCATTTTAGCAACCCCGATTTGACGATACCGACTGGGAATCTTCACGGAACCCCTTTCTGTGAAGTCTCGAATCTCGATTTCTAATATTACGAATCTCAATTCCAACACTTACGGAATTTCATTTCCAATATTTAACAATTCTTGATTCCACAATTGGTGAATCTCGATCCTACACTTGTTGAAACTGATTTCCACATTCACTAGAATTTTACCTCTTCCCTCCTAACACTTGTTGAATCTCAAGCTACAAGGTGTAGTCTTTTTTTTTTTCGGCATGAAATGACCATTATAAATCGAAGTCGTGGTCCACGTTCTCCACATAATTCTCTAAGTATGCATTGTATTGATCCAATGGAGAGACTGCAACTCCAAGATCAAGGTTTCAAAAAAAGCTAGGCAGCCCCAAGGCAGCCTGCCTGGCAACAAGCGCCTAGCCAGGCAACCAGAACCTCGGGCGCCCTGTAGTTTTTTTCACTTTGAGGGTTTTCATATATTGAGGGGTTTTTTTTTTTTTCACTTTGGGTTAAAAATAAACCCCATAATGTGCATATGTGGTATGTCGGTCAGTGAATGGCATTGAGACAAGTAATATTTCCCTCAGTTTTCTTTCGATTCCAAAGATGTCTTTTTTTTTCTGAGAAAGAGATTCCAAAGATGCCAGAATCTTAATTCCATAAATGAAAGAATCTCGATTCCATATTAGTCGATTCCAACTAGGTCAGAAACTCAATGCCATATCAGTCGATTCCAACTAGGTCAGAAACTTGATTCCAATAAGCTAAAAATCTAGATTCCATCTATGTAGGTATCTCGATTCTATTTTAGTCAAATCTCGATTCGTAAAAATAGGAATCTCATCCCCCCCGCAATTCCTCTTGTACGGACATTGATTACAAAAAAAAAAATCTTCCAGCCAGCGGCAATTCAGCACTTCCAATTCCTAAATCAATTCGGTTTCCGAATTGATTCGCGTAACTATGGTTTGGACCGAGAATTGTTGCCTGAACCGGTTGGTTCAAGGTCCTGAACTAGGGGAGCATTGAACCAACATCAAATAGGAGAATATCTGGTTCAATCCCTAGTCTAGCTGTTTGATTGGTACAAACTGAACCTGCAACTAGTAAGAACTATTCAAAACTAGTATGAACCAGTCAATTCGACCAATCAAACTGGTTGAACCAGCTGGTTCAGAAAGTTTCGACCAATTTTTTATTCTTTTATATCTTTCCTTATATATTCCAAACCTATGAACTAGCTAGACAAACCAGTTTTGGATCGGACCAGTGCCGTCATGAGTTTAAATATAGGTCTAGTACTGATATCACTGGTTTAGACAAACAAAGATGTATGTATATTAGATAATTAATATAAAAACCCAACCCCTTTAGAGGACAAAAGAAATAGACAAGTTTAATTGAGGTATCAAAGCATCAAGAAACTGTACTAAACAAAAAAAAAGACAAAATAGTCCTCCCTAAATATTTTTCATTGCAAAGGATCCTATAGCAATCTGATACAATATGAGAAGAATCCTGAGAGTTGGATTCAGCATGTCAAGAGTCAAGAGTCAAAAGATCTCATCAGTGATTTAAAAAGAGGACCGCCCAGCACCTAGGCCGTCCAGAAGGCCTATACGCATCGCCCATGCCTAGGCGGCAAACAAAGACGGAAATCCCTAGTCCCCTGCTTAGGCGCCTGGGAGCCCGCCTAGACGGGGCGCCCAACGCTAAACCTTGAGCGACCCAGGGCCTTTTTGTCATTTTTTTAATACTAAAAGGGCAAAATTGTGTGTTTTAGGTTCATTTGAAACCTAAAACTCATTAGAGCCTATTTTAGGGAGAGAAAAACTCCAAAAACCTATTTTTTGGTGATTTCCATAGGATCGAAGGGTTTCTCAAAGTCATGAGAAATTGATCAAAACATCACCCATTGATTATAGATTTAATTTTTGATGTTTTATAAATCTATTAGAGGGCTTTTTAGAAGATTTTGAGTCTTTAGAAACATCTTAGAGGTGGAAATTTGGAGAACAAGCAATCAAAGTTAGTGATTTTTTTTTTATTGCTTGTATAAGTTGTATTATTTTGAGATATCTTCTTCGGGATCTAATCGAAGTGGTGATCTGGGTTGAAAATATGGCTACAACCCAAATCTTTTACATAAAAATTGCATAAGATGCAAGTTTTGTGAAAAGGATACAAAAGGGGGCATACTCCAATGCATATGATGCAAATGCAGCTCACCCTACTTTTTCTGATGATGAATGATGAATGATGATTGAAGATTCTTTTGAGTCTTCAAGTATTTTTTTCATTTTTGTTGTCCTCCTCTTGGTTGGGTATTGTATATAGTGGATTTGTGGTTCCACTAGTTTGGTATTTGGTAACTTTGGTAATTTGGTTGGTAAATTTTAAGTTTTAACTATGTGTGGAATGTGGATTGTGGACTGTGGACTATCAATCAGACTATGGATAATTCATAATTGTAGATGGACTTATGGTTATGGTCTTATGGAGTGTGTGCTCCTATGGGTTGTGTAGTATACTTTAGAATTTTGATGTGCCCTAAATCCCTTATTCTTACAGTTATATTGTGCTGCCCAGGTTCTGGGCACCAGCCTAGGTGTTGAGCGGCTTGGAACCCCCAGGCCGTCTAGGACCCGCCTAGCACTTTTTGAAACATTGAGTCTCATTTAAGTCCAGGTGCAAAGCATTTTGGGGTGTTGTTCAAGAATTCATGTTCATACTCGAACACAATTTACACAACTGACAAGATGCAAATCCAAGCAAACATCATTAAGAAGAAAAGACATTTGGTTAACCAGTGGTCAAATAGAGAGAAAATAAATAGACAAGTTACAAATATGATAAACTTAGAGTTTCAAAACTTTTATAGAAACAAAATAAAGAAAATCAAGTACACAAAAGATAAGAAATCTATATGAAATACAAAGCGTATAATTCCCTATAAGTTAAATGGAAGTAGATGAGAGATGAAACTACCAGTTTTTTTTAAGCGAGAGATGAAACTACTAGTTATGTGATTGGGAAAACCCATATCTAATACACCCAAGGTGCTCCAGGATAATGAGAATTAGTACCACATGCAGGAGTGGTGAAGATAGTCTAGAGTATCAATTGCAGCATTGATCAAAAATCACAATAAAGAGTTTTATGCATCAATAAAAGAAAACACCAAAGCAAGCCACCACACCATTGCAGCTAGATGAATAACTGAAAATGATTAGTCATGTGAACCGAAAGTGAACGGAAGTAGATGAGAGATGCAACTTACAAGTTATGTGATTGAAACCACCCAGATCTAATATCCAAGGTGCTTTAGCATAAACAGAATTAGTACCAAATATAGAAGTGGTGAAGATAGTCTTGAGTATCTATTGTAGCGATGATCACAAAATTACCCTATATAGTTTCATGTATAGAGATAAACACTGAAAAGGCAAGCGACTACATCATTGAAGGTAGGAGAATAGCTAATAATGGATCGAGATGTACCTAGAGCATCAAGGATATGATTTTTTTGCATCAATTCAACTGCTAAAGCTAAACAATTTCTGTGCCATAGGATATGAAATCCATCTGCCAACATACATAACCCACACTAGAGCAAGTATTGCTCAAGCCAACAAACTACTTCCCTCATTTAGAAACCTTGAGCTCTAGCAGAATTACAGGGCTTGATATAGTAAGTACGATGAACTATAATTAAACTCTTGATCATGAGACAAATAAGGCCAATTAATCTCCTTGCTAACAACTGGCAAGAGGTGCCTTTAGCATTGAGCAACACCAGCAGATGAAGAATATAAGCCCTTCTATTCAGATCAGCCCACAGGCATAAATACTGATGGTGACCTATCCCGAAATCGTTGGCTTTACATACTGATAGTATAAGGTGTACACTCCCAAAATTTTGAAATGATAGGTAGCCTGCCCCAAAATTTTGAAAAAAAATTCTTGCCTGAACAACAAATGGACTGCCAGCCTAAGACTGTTTATTCCGCAGAGGCAGGATCAAGTAATAGTCATCTTCATCAGTATAGATATTCAAATTTTTGTTCCAACTGATGATAGTTAGCACCATCAGTATGGTCATAATGACAGTGAAGATGATTTTAGAGTCCAGACTCCCTTCACTGCAGTAAATCTCATTCATCCAATAACAGTTAACAACTCCACTAAAGGAGCATTTTCTCAAAAAAAAAAAAACTCCACTAAAGAAGCAATTATGCAATATGTATAGAGTTATTTTAAGGACCAATGATTTTTCAACAATTCTACTTAACAAATCCAGCAGTGAATTTTCCAGGTTTCAATGGTTCAAATGCAGTAAATCCAATGTAGGCCCCAAGATTACATTCAAAAAATAAAAGTACTTTAATACAAGAGCATATAAAGTAACATCTGCAGTATATATATTGCTCCAATAAGAAAACACATTACCAAAAATCAAAGAAAACACATTACCAAAAATCAAAGAAAACAAGCCAAGAATTAAAAGAAAAAGAAACACATCTTATTGGTCCCTTTCTGAAGTGATTTCTTCAGTGGGATAATGAAAGAAGTCAATGGCATTAATAAACTAAAATTGTCAAATCCTACTTACCTAACTAGGACATATCAATCCATGCTACATAAAGACTATAAAAAAATTTCTTCCGCACAAACACCAGTTAAAATGGGAAACCAAGACCTTCAATTCTTGATATGCTTGTGAAACTTGAACCAAAATAACTTAGAGCATTCTATAAATACCAGACTTTCCTGTGAAGGCATATTCACACGTATGAAATATCCAACTTTCAGAACATAACATGATTGAAATTTGAAAGGAATATTGCTCCAATTTGCTTGAGATTTCTAGATCCAATCCATGGTGAGTATTACCATTCTAATCCAACTAGTTCTAGGCCCAAACATGCTCCCACAATTAACTGCCATAAGTTTGATATCCCAACCTCGAAACTGATCTTCCAATGTATTTCTTGAATGCTTACCAGATTCACATAAAAATACTATCGATGGGCCAGTTTCACTCTAATAATCATCAGCCCTAAGATTTTAAGTTCAGAAAGCTTCAATTGTGGTATAGGAGTGTATGGTTGCTCATATGTGCAACATTCCAATGTGGGAGTTTCAGACAGCAAGCAATAGAAACAGAATTTGAAGATGTCAGAAATTTCTTGAAACTCAGACTTTTGAATGACCTAAAATTCCTTGATTAGGGATTTGAAGCTCAGGGTTTGATATTTTAAAATATCAAACCAGAGTCCATTACCATATAACCTCAATCAATTTGGGCAAAATGAATATCAATAAGGTAACAATGGGATTTTACTATTTTAGGTCAAATTGCAAAATTACAAGGTTAATTTTCTTTAGGGTGTGGTTTGCATAAGATTGCAACCTTAAAAAATCAAATTAAGGCGCGCCTCCAAATTTTATCATAAATGTAATTTTGGTGTTAAAATTTCTTAGGATGGCTTAAGAATCTATTTTGATCTCTAATTATAAAATCTTAAACTTCAAAAATGGTTCAAATCAAGTAGATCTATAAATATATTAAAATATTGAAAATGGACAATCCATATAATATGTTGCAACATACACTATTTTTGGGATTTGAAATCCTTATTTCTTTTCCTATTCATACATCTCGATGTTGAAATGATCAATTAGAGGGTTTTCCAACATCAAAACAACCTTTTATGATGGACGTTTTAGGTGCACCTTAATTCTACATTTTAAGGTTAAATTTTTTCCTTCCTTTATTGCAATATACAATGGCGCTGAACCCAGAAAAACTCACAACAAGGCTGAGTTCAATCTAAGTATATATATATATATATATATA